TTATTGTGAAGAGCGAAAGAACAAAGCTTCCATGTCGTGGCAGGGGACCCGAGCAGGTTGCCGGCGCTGGCCGTGGGCGGCCAGTTGAGAGGGAGTCTTGCTCTGTCGCCCAGGCTGGAGTGCAGTGGCCGGATCTCAGCTCACTGCAAGCTCCGCCTCCCGGGTTCACTCCATTCTCCTGCCTCAGCCTCCCGAGTAGCTGGGACTACAGGCGCCGCCACCTCGCTGGGCTAATTTTTTGTATTTTTAGTAGAGATGGGGTTTCACCGTGGTAGCCAGGATGGTCTTGATCTCCTGACCTTCTGATACACCCACCTCAGCCTCCCAAAGTGCTGGGATTATAGGGTGAGCCACCCTGCCCAGCCCAGAGTGCCCTTTTTTCAATCCTCCCTGCGATTGGCTATTTTTAGGATCCTGCTGATTGGTGCATTTTACAGAGTGCTGATTGGTGCATTTTACAATTCTCTTGAAAGACAAAAAAGTTCTTCAAGTCCCCACTCAACCCAGGAAGTCCAGCTGGCTTCACCCCTCACTTCTGACGTCATTTTTCACAGAACTAGAAAAAATTATTCTAAAATCTATATGGAATCAAAAAGACCCTGAATAGCCAAAGCAATCCCAAGTGAAAAGAATAAAGCCAGAGGCATCACATTACTGGACTTCAAGCTATACTACAAGGCTACAGTAACCAAAACAGCATGGTATTGGTTAAAAAAAAAAAACAAAAAACCTATGGTCATATGATCTTTGGCAAGGTTGATAATAACAAGCAAAGGAGAAAGAATACTGTATTCAATAAATTGTGCTAAGATAGTTGGCTAGCTATATGCAAAAGAATAAAACTGGACCCCCACTTTTCACCATATACTAAAATTAACTCAAAATGAATTAAGAATTTAAATGTAACACTTCAAGCTATAAGAATCCTAGAAGAAATCCTAGGAAACACCATTCTGGACATTGGCTTTGGGAAAGAATTTATTACTAAATCCTCAAAAGCAATTGCAACAAAACCAAAAATTGACAAATGGGACCTAATTAAAGCCAAGAACTTCTGCACAGCAAAAGAACCTATCAACAGAGTAAACAGACAACTTACAATGGGAGAAAATATTCATAATTTATGCGTCCAACAAAGGTCCAATAACAGAATCTATAAGGAACTTAAACAATTGAACAAGCAAGAAACAAATATCCCCATTAAAAATGGGTAAACGGCTGGGTGAGGCAGCTCACACCTGTAATCCCAGCACTTTTGGAGCCCAAGTTGGGCAGATTATGAGGTCAGGAGTTCAAGACCAACCTGTCCAACATGGTGAAACCCCAACTCTACTAAAAATATAAAAATTAGCCAGGCATGGTGGTGTGTGCCTGTAATCCCAGCTACTTGGAAGGCTTAGGCAGGAGAATCGCTTGAACCCAGGAGACGGAGGGTGCAGTGAGCCGAGATTGTGCCATTGCACTCCAGGCTGGGCAATAGAGCAAGACTCCATCTCAAAAAAATAAATACACAAAAATAAAATGGGCAAAACACATAAATAGGAACTTCTCAAAAGAAAACATACAAGTGGCCCACAAACATATTTAAAAAATGCTCAACATCACTAATCATCAGAGAAAAGCAAATGAAAATCACAATGAGATACCATCTCACACCAGTCAGAATAGCTATTACTAAAAAGTCAAAAAATAACATGCTGGTGAGGCTGCAGACAAACGGGAACACTTACACTCTGTTGGTGAACATGTAAATTAGTTCAGTTACTGTGGAAAGCAGTTGGAGAGGTTTTTTTTTTTTTTTTTTTTTTTTTTTTTGAGACAGAGTCTTGCTCTGTCACCCATGCTGGAGTGCAGTGACACGATCTCAGCTCACTGCAACTTCCGCCTCCCAGGTTCAGGCAATTCTCCTGCCTCAGCCTCCACAGTAGCTGGTATTACAGGCACCCACCACCACACCCAGCTAATTTTTGTGTTTTTAGTAGAGACAGGGTTTCACCATGTTGGTCAGGCTGGTCTCAAACTCCTTACCTAAGGTGATCTGCCCCACTTGGCCTCCCAAAGTGCTGGGATTACAGGTGTGAGCCACTGTGCCTGGCCTGGAGATTTCTCAAATAACTTAAAACAGAACTACCATTTGACTCAGCAATCCCATTACTGGGTATACATCCAAAAGAAAATAAATTATCCTACCAAAAAAACACATGCATTTGTATGTTCATTGCAGCACTATTCACAATACCAATGACATAGAGTCAACCTAGGTGCCCATCAATGGTGGACTGGATAAAGAAAATGTACATACATGCCATGGAATACCACGCAGCCATAAAAAGTATGAAGTCATGGCCGGGCGCGGTGGCTCAAGCCTGTAATCCCAGCACTTTGGGAGGCCCAGATGGGCAGATCACGAGGTCAGGAGATCAAGACCATCCTGGCTAACCCGGTGAAACCCCGTCTCTACTAAAAAAAACAAAAACAGCCGGGCGAGGTGGCGGGCGCCTGTAGTCCCAGCTACTCAGGAGGCTGAGGCAGGAGAATGGCGTGAATCCGGGAGGCGGAGCTTGCAGTGAGCTGAGATCCGGCTACTGCACTCCAGCCTGAGTGACAGAGCGAGACTCTGCCTCAAAAAAAAAAAAAAAAAAAAGTATGAAGTCATGTCTTTTGCTGCAATACGAATGTAGCTGGAGGCTGTTATCCTAAGTGAAATAACGCAGGAACAAAAATCCAGTGAGCTGCTCTCATTTATAAGTAATGCTCTCGCTTATAAGTAGAAGCTAAATAATGAGTATTCATGGATATAAGGATGGCAACAATAGGCTAGGTGCAGTGGCTCATGCCTGTAATCCCAGCAGTTTGGAAGGCCAAGGCAGGTGGATCACGAGATCAGGAGTTCAAGACCAGCCTGGTCAACATGGTGACACTCCGTCTCTTCTAAAAATACAAAAATTAGCTGGGCGTGGTGGCGGGCACCTGTAATTCTAGCTACTTGGGAGGCTGAGGGAGGAGAATTGCTTGAACGCGGGAGGCGGAGGTTGCAATGAGCTAAGATCGTGCCATTGCACTCCAGCTTGAGCAAAAAGAGTGAAACTGTGTCTCAATAATAATAATAATAATCTTACATATGTAATTGGTGTCTCAGAGAACAGGCATAGAGAACGCAGCAAAAACCATATCTGAAGAGGTAATGATTGAGAATTTCCCAAAACTGATGAAAGACATCAACCCACAAATCAGAGAAACTCAATGATATCCAAGACAGATAAATACAAAGAAAACAAAGATAGGGCACAAAACAAATGACTAAAAATCACTGACAGGCCGGGCGCAGGGGCTCACGCCTGTATTCCCAACACTTTGGGAAGCCGAGGCGGTTGGATCACGAGGTTAGGAGATCAAGACCATCCTGGCTAACATGGTGAAACCCCGTCTCTACTAAAAAAAAACAAAAACAGCCGGGCGAGGTGGCGGGCGCCTGTAGTCCCAGCTACTCTAGAGGCTGAGGCAGGAGAATGGCGTGAGCCCAGGAGGTGGAGTTTGCAGTGAGCCGAGATCGCGCCACTGCGCTCCAGCCTGGGCCACAGAGCGAGACTCCGTCTCAAAAAAGAAAAGAGAGGGCCTGGCGTGGTGGTTCACGCCTGTAATTCGAGCACTGTGGGAGGCCCAGGTGGGAGGATCACTTGAGCTCAGGGGTTCAAGATCAGCCTGGGCAACATAGGAAGAAGTCATCGCTACAAAAATGATAGTAATAATAATAATAACAAAAAAATTAGCCGGGAGTGGTGCAGGAGCCTGTGGTCCCAACTACTTTGGAGGATGAAGTGGGAGGATCGCTTGAGCCCGGGAGGCAGAGGTTACAGCGAGCCTAGGTTGTGCCACTGTACTCCAGCCTGGGCGAGAGAGCAAGACCCTGTTTGAAAAAAAAAAAAAGAAGAAAAAAGAAAAAAAAATCAACAGTAACTGCAGCCATTGTTTAGAAATAAGACTAAACAGCCGGGCGTGGTGGCTCAAGCCTGTAATCCTAGCACTTTGGGAGGCCGAGGCGGGCGGATCACGAGGTCAGGAGATCGAGACCATCCTGGTTAACACGGTGAAACCCCGTCTCTACTAAAAAATACAAAAAACTAGCCGGGCGAGGTGGCGGGCGCCTGTAGTCCCAGCTACTCGGGAGGCTGAGGCAGGAGAATGGCGGGAACCCGGGAGGCGGAGCTTGCAGTGAGCTGAGATCCGGCCACTGCACCCCAGCCTGGGCGACAGAGCGAGACTCCGTCTCAAAAAAAAAAAAAAAAAAAAAAAGACTAAACAAAGCTTTCGTTTGGAGAGGAGTACTTTATCTAGAGAGGAGTACTTTATCGTTAACATTGTTTAGAATTTTCTGACACATGGTGATAATTAAAAGCAAACCATCCTGCAGTTGGCTTCGGTATTGTTTTTATTTTCTCCACCATCAATGCATATCCTTATTGTCTACACAGGCTCTCTGCAACACACCCTTGGTATTCCATTGCAGTCACCTCCACTTTATTCTTCCAGATCGAGTATGTTCAAAACTGAACTCATCTTCCGCCATAAATCTGCTATTATTATGTCAGGACCTGTCAGAGCACTGGCTTGTAACTTTGGAAAGCATTCACAGTTGGGGCGGGTAGGACACAGATAAAGAGGCCAATCCCAATACCAGGGTGAGATCAATGGGAAAACCAGAGAGGGGACGCCTGGCCAGGCCTCACGACGTCCAGAGCTGGGATGGGTCTTTAGCTTTCGGCGCAGGGGTGACGGGGTCAGCGGAGGGTCGGGGTGTACACTAGCTGCGGTCTGATTTAGCCCTTTTAGGTTAAAAGCTGGAGAACGGGCTGAAGTCTCAAAGGCGCTACGCAGCTCCCAAGTCAGCCCGTTCTGAGGGAGGCTGGGGCTAAGGACGCGGTGACGGTCGGGGGCGGGGCGGCTGCGGGCCGGGGGGGGGGCGGGAGCGCCGGAAGCGAGGCGGTGCCAGGCCCAGCCCCGCAGGCGGAAGGGCGCGGAGGAGGTGACGCGATAGGCCGGCGCCGGCGTCGCGGCAGCCGCTTCAGAGGAAGCTCGGCGGCTGTGGCCGCGGCGAGCAGGCCGGACGCCTCTTCGCTGGCGGGGCTTCCCCTGGAGCTGACGAAGGCGGGGCCCGCGGTCCAGGCTGCTGCCGCGTCGGGGCCGGTGGCGGGGCAGCTGCCAGGAACGAGGGTCGCAGGTAAGCTGGGACGTGGGCAGCCAAATGACGGATTCAGCGATCGCCTGGCGGGGCTGGCTGGGGCCATTCCCGCGCCGGTGCGCGCCAGCTCAGCGCCCGGTCCGGAGGCCTCGAGCCGCCCTCCCCCGCCGGAGCCGGAGGCCGCGGTCCGTCTCGGCCACAGCCTGCCGTTCCGGGGGAGGCGCGCGAGCTGGTCCCGAGGGGCCGCTGCCCTGCGCTCTCACTCCAGCCGGGCTGTGCGGCGCAGGCACCGGGAAGCTGGCGCCCCCCAGCTCCTCACGAAGCCGGGAAAGCTCTGGGAGGAGAAGCGGCTGTCACAGGCCTCCGGCTCCGGCCGCCTTGGAAGTCCGGGTTTCTTATTTGCTCAGACCGCTCTGCCTCCTTCCGGCCTTGGTTCTTTCCCTCGCCCTCCCGGGACCCTTTTCCAGAGAGCCCGGTTGTGCATGAGCGCGGCGGGAGATGTCTTTTCCCTTCAGTCTGCGCTGAGTGGTATCGTCCCCCGCTCTGCGCCCTGTGGCCACTCTGTCGCGGGAGGAGGGATGCGGAGAGGATGTGGGAGTTTTGGACTTAGAGCCAGAATAGCCGAGGTGAAATCCTACCCTGCTGTCTGGTAGTGTTTTTTCATCTCATGCTAGACATTTCGACCTTTTTCACCCCAGGCAAAGTGGGACTTTCTTCTACCACTATAAATTATAATGTTTGGAGAATTAAACGAAGAAAGCAGACGTTATGAAATGTTTTGAGAATCTGGTTAAATTTAAGAATATCCAGGACACTTCATGATAGGTTCCTAATTCTGTTGTTTTGCGTTTTGCCCGGAATAACTAAGCTTGGTATGGAGAAGGGTGCCCGGAGATGCCAGGCACTTGTGTGGTCAGAGCCTAACTGCAGCCTCTGTTTTGGGTGGGCAGCATCAGGAAGAAACCAGACTCGCTCCTAGCCATCCACATGTCTCACGCTTGTTGATAGCACATTACTGGTATAAGGGATGGCTTGTATCAGTTTTGATCTTTACTCAACGTAGCTTTTTCCCAGTGCATCTTTTCTAGGAGAAAAGCTTGGTTTGTAGGGGAGGGTGCTGGGGAGGGGGGCTTCATTTACACCTTGGCTCACAATTTTTTTTTTTGACGAGGGGACCGGGTCTCACTGTAACAGGCTGGAGGGCAATGGCGCGATCTTTTTGGCTCACTGCAACCTCCGCCTCCCGGGTTCAAGAGATTCTCCTGCCTCAGCCTCCAGAGTAGCTGGGATTACAGGTTCCCGCCATCACACCTGGCTAATTTTTGTATTTTTAGTAGACACGGGGTTTCACCATATTGGCCAGGCTGGTCTCGAACTCCTGCGCTCAAGTGATCTACCTGCCTTGGCCTCTCAAAAGTGCTGGAATTGGCCAGTCGCGGTGTCTGACGCGAGTAATCCCAGCACTTTGGGAGGCAGAGACGGGCGGATCACCTGAGGTTGGGAGTTTGAGATCAGCCTGACCAACATGGTGAAACCCCATCTCTACTAAAAATACAAAATTAGCCAGGCGTGGTGGCGCAGGCCTGTAATCCCAGCTACTCGGAAGGCTGAGGCAGGAGAATAGCTTGAACCCGGGAGGAGAGGTTGCCGTGAGCTGAGATCACGGCATTACACTCCAGCTTGGGCAACAAGAGCAAAACTCCCTCTCAAAAAAAAAAAAAAAAAGGTGATGGGGTTACAGGCATGAGTTACTGCGCCTAGCCTATATCACTTGGTAAATTAGCCCTTTTTTTTGGGTAGGCTATTATGTGAATCCTTCAAAAATCATAGAAAAATTGAAATTTAACAGTATTTTGCTTTTATTCTAGCTTGTCATAAACCCAGTGCTCTATACACAGGCCTGCCTTTCTGCCTCCTCTATCCTGGCATGCATGGCCTTACTTCGTGTTATTAGCCAGCTTCCTATGGAGCTCAGTTTGGGAACAGGGGATTCTGTGCTTCTCTAGTTGCCAAACATCTGATTGAAGTAGATCACCTTGGCATTCGCGATATTAAGCATGTCTTTGCGAGGTTTTAGTTCCTGTTTCTTTTCCGGGTTAGATTGTACTCTGTCACGTATTTAAAGAATTTAGTAGACGCTTAGGAGGGGTCAACTGATAAGGTGGTCACAGTGTTTCACATGTATTTTTCTTACCCATTATGGTGAAACCCTTGTGACTTTTTTTGGGGGGTGGATAATATTTTCAAAATTAGGGTAAATAGGCCATGAGGCTGAGTTGCGCATTCTCTTTTAGGGAAATACATTCATTCTCAAAGTATTCTTTGGTAGCCTTCTCATTGCTTTAGCAATTCCTAGTCTATTATTAGTAGAGCCGGAAATGGACCTTATATTACAGATTCTCCAAATATACTAAATTATGTTTTCGCTAAAATGATCATGTTTATACCATGTTGATTTTCTTTTTTCTTTTTTTTGAGACAGAGTTTCACTCTTGTTGTGCAGGCTAGAGGCAACGGCTCGATCTCAGCTTGCTGCAACTTCCGCCTCCTGGGTTTAAGTGATTCTCCTGTCTCAGCCTCCCAAGTAGCTGGGATTAGAGCGCCCACCACCACGCCTAGCTAATTTCTGTATTTTTGGTGGAGACGGGGTTTCACCATGTTGGCCAGGCTGGTCTTGAACTCGTGACCTCAAGTGATCTACCTGTCTTGGCCTCCCAAAGCGCTGGGTTTACAGGTGTGAGCCACCATACCCAGTCAGCAGCATGTTGATTTTCTACAACCAGATGACAAAGGACATCCTGAAGTCACTGATTTAAAAAGTCATGTTGGCCTGGCGCGGTGGCTCATGCCTGTAATCCCAGCACTTTGGGAGGCCAAGGTGGGTGGATCACGAGTCAGGAGTTTGAGAATAGCCTGGCCAACACAGTGAAACCCCGTGTCTACTGAAAATACAAAAAAAAATTAGCTGGGCATGGTGGCGGGCGCCTATAATCCCAGCTACTCGGGAGGCTGAGGCAGGAGAATTGTTTGAACCCATGAGGCGGAGGTTGCAGTGAGCCGAGATTGCACCATTGCACTCCGGCCTGGGCAACAGGGTGAGACTCTGTCTCAAAACAAAAAAACAAGTCATGTTAACACATAGGTTGTCTAATATATTCAGAGTCTAGAGAGACCTGGTATGTATCTGAGAAACCAAATAGCTGAATCTCTAAAATTTTATTTTTGTGTCTGAAATACCTTAATTCTGAAGTTTTAATTGATGTTGAATTTCAGATTCTGACAGGAGACAAATAGAGGTATATGTGAAGGGTTAATATGAACCCAGGGTTACAGTTTCAATCTAAACTGATACTGCAGATTTAACATTGAAACAAAGCAGCTCTAGGGAGTTGTAACAACCTAGCAAAAAGTGAAGGTTAGAAGTCACTGACTGGCTCTTGAGGCAGTCTTCTGACTCTCAAACTACTTGAGACTAAAATTTTCAAGAATTTTTTAACTTAATTTTTTAAAGATATAATTTATGGCTTGGCGCAGTGGCTGTCGCCTGTAATCCCAGCACTTAGGGAGGCCGAGGCCGGTGGATCACCTGAGGTCAGGAGTTTGAGACCAGCCTGGCCAACATAGTGAGACCCCGTCTCTACTAAAAATACAAAAATTACCTGGGCGTAGTGGCACACACTTGTACTCCCAGCTACTCAGGAGGCTGAGGCGGGAGAATCTCTTGAACCTGGGAGGTGGAGCTTGCAGTGAGCCGAGATCAGGTCGTTGCACTTCAGCCTGGGCGACACAGTGAGACTCCGTCTCAAAAAAAAAAAAAAAAAGATACAGTGAAATACATAGACTTTAAGGGTTTTTGTTTTTTAAAGCATATGTACACAAAATGGAAGACAGAAAAACAGCAAAAACATTTTGGAAGTTGGAATGCAGATTGATTTAAGCAGTCCGCCCGCCTTGGCCTCCCAGAGTGCTGGGATTACAGGCTTGAGCCACCACACTTGGCCGATATAACTTTTTCATAGTGAAGCTTCAGTTAACCTGTACAGTGGCTGCGCTGTGAACTTTCACCCAAATATTGGGCTCGTTAAGGGGCTGTTCAGGCTTGGGGCTGTCTTAGGGTCAGTGAGTATCTATCTAACAAGAGTGTAAACCTCACTTCTGTTTCCCTTGTGTGTGTGTGTTTTATCTTTGAAGGAATGTTGGTATTTGGTCAATATGAACATACAGCAGCATGGCTGGGAATATAGGGGCAGAAATGTAAAGGAAACCGATGTGAAGTTTGCTTTTAATTCCTGGGCCGTTTTATTTGAGAACCTTCAATGGCAGTGTCTTGTCATTGCTCCAGGGTCAGATTCCCTAAAGAAGGGACCTCCTACTTGGAGAGTACAAATCGGGCTTCCAGCAGTCTGGTTGCTAAACTGAGGGAAAGGCTGAAGGTCTTAGCATTCATTTGATAAACACTCATTCATGTTCATTTAACTCAACTATTTTCAGTAAGATGACCTCATTCTCAGCTGGACCAGTTGAAAAGCGTTCCAGTCCAGGAATTCTTTGTTTTTACATAGGATTGTTTTAAGCTGCTACATGTGGTTAGTGGCTGCCATATTGGATAGTAGAGCTGCACTATCCAATATGGTAGCCACTGGCCATGTGTAGCAGCCTAAATCTAAATAATTAAAGTTAAAGGTTTAGTTCCTCACTTGCACTAGACACATTTCAAGTGCTTAATGGCCACATTTGCCCAGAGGCTACCATACTGGGTAAGACATTTTATTGGGCTGTGCTGTTGTAGTTTAGAGAAGAAGACTCCAGGTTTCTTCAACGATGGGTAGGGGATAGTTGGCTGGTTTTGTGGCGTGTGGGAGGATATTTAAATCATTTGACCAATCCTTTTATTTTTAGCATCATATTCACATTCACATCCCTCTGTAGAACAATTCCTGACCTGTTTTGAGGTATTGTTCTTTAAATTGCTTTCCTCCCTGCAAGCTTGAGATTTAACTTTTTTTTTTTTTTTTTTGAGACAGAGTCTCGCTCTGTTG